AAGTCAGGAGGCAAAATTCACCCCCGCCAAACCATTTGGAGTAAGAAAGTGCAATTTGGACAAATATAAAGAAATTGGCAAATTGCAGTGCGTTTCTTCTTGGTTGCAGTAAATGCATACACCAATATTTGAAGAAAGATTTTTTTTATGGGTTTGCTGAGCTACCCGAAAAATTAACCAATTCTTGAGAAATTTGGTGATCTAATTTAATGCGTTAGTATTCCTTATCTAGAAAATAAAGATTGTCGCTGCCGTCCAATCCTCATTTATTTTCTATATTTTTATTAAAGGTTCACATGATCAATTATTTTAGATGTTGCCTAATTGGGTCATTTTTCTTCCTTTCTCTCTTGTTTCATTATGATAAGATTGACGATTTTTTTTTTTGTTTGTTTTTGGTTGAGCAGTCGATGTCAGTACTCAGTCAGTAACGAAGTATGAAATTTCATGCTCGAACAACGACAAGTTAAGAAAATTTTATACAATTAATTATAGACAAATATCTCTTTTTCTAACTGTAAAAAATGATTTATCTAATTTATAGTGGTATAACCTTTTTAATCCATTCGAGGTTTGATTCTAAACATGTGTAGAGTGCCATTTTAAGGTCTTCCTCTAGAATGTATACAAATATTGGCTAAAAATATCATGTTCGTCCCAAAAGGAAAATTAATTCCTGGGAAATGAGAAAAGGAAGACAAAAGCAAATCCACAGGGACGAATCTGTCACGGCACGGGAGACCCCACTGGCACGCTGCCGGTAATCTGTAGGCGCACCAATCGCCGGACTAGCCGTTATTTAACTTTTTCTCAGTGCTAACACTAATCAAAATACTCGGAAATCGGGGAGGATGCTCAGTTTTCATCACGAGTGCCTGGATTTTTATGATGCAACGGCTATAACGGTGTCGTTTAGCCAAAAGCTTCTTCACTCACGAGGGGGGGGAGGGGTTGGATTGGAGGTTTTGGGACGAAATGGCAGAGAAACAAAACAAGTGGAGGACCACTTGCAGTAACTAATAACAGCTGCCGAATTTAACGGCCTCTTTTGACTTCTTGCCCCCAATCACTGCTCTTTCTTTTTTTTCCTTTTTTTTTTTAAATAAAAAAATTAATACATATTTTTTAAAACAGATTACAATTAAACTTATCATATTAAGAGAAATTAGGAAGGGAGATCACCGAGAGCTCGAATTTCCAACTCGAGAGTATGTTCGCATTAAAGTTAAGTGAAAATCCATTCTCGGTTCATGTGTGCGGAACAAAATCAATACATAATAAATAAATAGAGATTAAAAAAATAAGTTTGTTGAATTCAAACATGCAACTCATCATAAAAGGTAATTCACACTTACATAAAGTTTAAGTCATTAGGCCAGAGTGTGGAGATCCGCTCACTGCCTTTTCCTTTCCACCACACCATCCCCAATTTTCATTTTGTAATCTCCCCTTATCCCACCATCCCACCCAAAATCCATAAAGGGACCTACCTTCCCCTTCCTTTGCCTACGGTTTTCCTCTAACTAGGCATTAAATTATCAATAAAGGAATCTCAGAAAGAAAACGAACATGAAATCAATGGGGGAGGGTCCAACTTTTCTGAGAATATATTCAATAAGGTCCACAACCTTTGATAAAGAGAAATTTCAGTTTTTCCTTTGCCATCTCTAAATGCTCTAAACCTAAAAGAATAGAGTAATAATATGAAAACAATTTTTTTATAGTATTTTTATATAATTTTTATATATTATTAAATTAAATGAATAAATATATATAAAGTGAAAACAAATTATGATTAAATAATATATAAAGTTATATAAAAAATTATATAAAATTTTATTTTTTAATTATTTTTTTAAAAAATAACATCAAAAAATAAGAAAGAGAAAAAAAAATAAATGACTTAATAAATAAGTCATACCTAATCCAGAAAGATCTTTTCAATTTATTATTTTTATAAAAAAAAGCGGACAGTTCGCCATTAACCATTGAATTTCTCTCTGTCTTTCTTTCTTTCTTTCTCTCTCTCTTTTTTTCTTAATAATTTTTTTGGCCATGAACAAAAACATTGAATTTCTTACTTTGCAGATTTTATACAGTAGTTATTTTTGATAAATAAGGATTTTTTTTTTGGGGGTAAATACTAATTTTATTAGTTGTGGAGTACGGTACTAGAGTCTAGCTGTAGAACGCAATTGGTTGATTTTGACTCTGCATATAATACCAAATTTTCTAGATATACCTTTTCTTTTCTATTTATATATATACACTCTTAAAGCTAAAAAGTGAACATCCTTTCTTCTAATGAAATTAATTATGTATGTATGAATTATAACCATGTGACTCATGTCCAAGTAGTTTTAATTATTTCATATAATAATTGTTAATATTGGCTACTTTGCTTAAGGTATAAGATATTTTCCTTCCCTTTTTACTCGACAAAGAAAATTTTCAATTACTTTACTCTTTTTCTTTTTTTTTTGAACAAGATTACATTTGGAAAAAGAGGAGTGGGGAAACTCAAACTCAAATCAATGAGATATTTTATTAAGAGGAGTTATCATTACTTTACTCAGAAGTTCTCATTTAATTAATTTACTTAAACTCTTAAATTTAATCAATTTTAATAAAAATCAAGATTTTAAAATTAATAAAACTAGTTCAACTAAACTTTTGTGAAGTTGGATTCATGTGATGTTAGGAGAAACTTTGTCTTATTGGCAAAGGCATGACAGCTGTGCCATTAAAATGGACTTGAATGACAATATAAATAAATACCATGTACCCAAGTGTTGTCACTGTTTTCCAGTGCATAGTACAGCTAATATTCCTTCATCAAAGGTTTTAAGGTGGCAGTGCCTCGCGGCAATGTTTTTGCTTCTGTTGTGTGGAGAAAACAGTCTGGGCCTTGTAATATGATGCTGTTGTCGGATGATGCCTCTTTACAAACCATCGTAAGGGGGCCCAGATTACACAGGCCTGTCCTACTTAGCTCTTCACTATAAGCTCATGGGTATGCACTAGTAATTGTACTTCTGTTCTGTAGTTGGCTGTTGATGTCAAGGAAGGCCCAAATGCAAGATTTTTCCAGAAGAAACGATCTATTGCTTTCTCTGAAATTTGCTATTTTAATCCTATTTTGCTAGAAAGTAAATATTTCTTCCAAAATATTTCAAAATCAAAAGAGAAACATTTTGAATTTTTTTTTACTAAGCTTTCGATATCCAATAATCATATTAGATTCTGATTAATTCGGAATTAATTCGTGTCAGATCTAATAATAAGCTCTCTTAACATTTGTTTTTCTTTTTATAAGATTCAAACTCGAAATCTCATTTAGGAAAATTGAATTCTTTCCGAATTCTTTCCAAATTCTTTCTCCTTAGACCAACAGAACATTGGTAACATTTTAAAATTTTTGTCAAAAGCCAATTCTAGAATAAGCTTTGCCAAACAACCTCAAGGTCGTTTGTTCCTTCATTATTGATTCATTGATTTATTATTTATTATTTGAATTTCAATCCAATATTGGAATCCAGAACTAGAATTTTGATGTGAGTAAGATATGAGTAGCGATCAACACATACTTAAAACACTTGGTTAAAAGACTCAAAGCAATAACAATTGCCCCCTGGTTCTTTACTTAATTAAGGAAAACTTTCATCTTCCAACACTGAGAGCTCAATCAGCTGATTGGGCCTCCTCTAATTTCGATTCTCTTCAACATGTATATTCATTTATCATTTTTAGAGGTGTGGTAATGCTTACCATTTTGTTAAAGCCACCCAATTCTATTTAGTTTAATTGTTAAAAAAATTGATAATTGATATTTATTATTTAACATAACAAACTTAGTTTATAAATTAATATTTTTAGACATTATAATCAATTATTTAAAAAGATAATAAACAAATAAAATATCAATAAAACTTAATAAAATTAGACAAACTTAATGAAATAAAGGTGATCATAACCACGCTCCACTTTTAGAGCATGCAAAATGAAAAATAATAAAAAAAATTCAATTTGACATTAATCATAACAATTAATATTATTTTATATAAATTTATATTTTCA